TACGCACCACTACATCTTTAGGAAACGATCACGTTGTTGAAAGAATAGGTCGAATCCTAGCCCAGATTTCTTTAAAAGTGAACAGCAGTCATCTTATCCATCAAAGCTAAACTGCTCGTTACCGAAGAAGCGCGGTCTAAAAGGAAAAAATTACTTATTATTTTGAATGGAAAATAGCTCAACAAAGCCCAGCTTTGCCACTGTTTTTCGTTAGATTTCTCCTCTCTGGTTTCAATCGGAACGCCTGACGTGCATGTCAGCACGCCTCGCAGGACGCTACGCTAGTCGTCCATGTCACTGATTTTGCCAGAGGATTTCAGTTTTATCCTTTTTTCTCGTAGAGCTGCCACGGTCCGAGCGTACATTATGATTTTGTTTGATGTAATCTTCAAGGTTACAGCTAATCCCTTAATAGAACTTCTGCTACTTATCCTGGTGCACTCTTATTTCTACTCGTAGTGAGAATTTGGAGCATCAACCTATGGTTTTCTTTGAGCTCCTCATAGTGGCTTCGATGCTCATGGTAGAGCTATCAGGCGCGTATAAAAAGAGTCCGGCTTCCGCTTGCGGAGGGGAAGGGAGCAACTCAAACCGTAACTCGATTGGAATTACCATACCGGACAATGCCTACCATTGTTGCTAGATGGATAAAAAAATTCAACTTAAGGGGTCTTCCGAGGGGTGTCCTATGATTTAGCAACGACTACAAAATTAAAAAAATTGTCTAAAAATACGGAAGACTATTCGGATGATCTGGCTACTTGTTTGTATAGGTTTTTCATAGAGGCGCTTCTGATTCTACCAGTACTAGCGATGAACGGCCTTCTCTAGAAGCCGATATATTCATATTTTAGGGGGTGTCCTATGATTTTGCAGCGCACTGTAGTCAAACTCTGCAATGACTGACATTATTCCAACTCGGAGCTGTTGCTCGCCTCCCAAAAAAGGTGAAAAAGTCACTTAACCTTCAGAAAGGCAATGCTCTCAAGCACGAGATCAACGATGAGCAATTATGGTGATATGAGAAATAGCGCGAAAGATCTCCATCACCATTTGTGATCGAAGTGGCCGCTTGCTTTTTTCAGGTTTTTGAAAATGAATGATGCGCAAGGAAAAATAGGATGCTGTGAGGCGTTACGGCAGTATTTTGCAAGAATTGGCTAGGATTGAACTAGCTGGTCTTCTTAGTCGCTCTGTGGAGTTATATTGACCATTCCAACAGGGAAAGGTCGTTGGGTCAAATTCGTGCGGTGTATATTTTAATACGCAGCTCAGATAGGTTTTCATCTTCTATCAATCGATTCGCAAAGTTAATTATGAAAACAAAAAGCGCAGTAGCAGTTTGGCCGAGCACATAGACAAGAGCTCGTGTGGTCGACTCCCTAGCGAGTATAATCCTCTGTTTCTACAGGGTGGTCCAAAATTATGAGGACGGCGTGCGCGCGCAGTCATGTCCACTTTTTTCCGTATCATTCCATTTTCATTTCGTTTTCTGTGTGAAGGGATATAATGTCTTCTTTCTAATGAAACCAAATTTCATGAAGTTCTCAAAACTAGTGAAATAAGTACTTCACTTTGAGTCAGTCCTCAAATTAAACTCACTAGGGGCTCTGGCACGTTACATCTAGCAGCAGTCTAACCTATCAGAGAGGCCCTTATGAGCAACAGTTCATTTCTTCAATAAGTTTGGAACCACCACAGATGGAAAATTCGGAAAATTACAGTCACCACCAGGATAATTATAAGATGACGAAACTAGGTACACCCTTGTCGACTATCGTACACCCAAAATTGAAAAAATTGATGTGAAACACCCAGCCAGACGCTCTGAGACTCCACATCCTGTAGCGGATAGGAAGCCACACGAGTAGTCTACTTTAGAACTTCTTACAGGACCGAGCACACAAGAATAAAGCAAAATCCTTCAAAAAGAATTTTTTCGAGTTCTTCGACGAATTGTTACATTGGAGTCATACCCTGAATGCAAACGCAAATAAATAGCAACACGAAAGTTTGATTCCCTGAAAAAGGCAGAGCAGAATGCCTGGAAACATTTAGACACGCCTTAGTTGCGTGCCACCGCACGCGCCACTCCCCCTTATCCGAAGGCCCGTGTGAACGGGGGAAGGAGCAGATCTCAACTCTATTCTGGAATTACTTTAAGCTAAGAGTTACAAATACTTCCCAGAAGTTGATTTGTTCCATCAAGCTACTAGCGTTTTCAACGACACAATGTCTTAGTCCTCATAATTTTGGAGAAAGAAACTAGATTTTAGAGAAAGAAACACCCGAACAATGCATCTTCTCCATGGACAAAAGAGTGAGCTGGATTGTGGTGTGGGCGCAATTCATGACCTTAGTGAGGTGCAGTACGCTACATCAGGAAGTCATGAATTGCGTTTGGCAAGCTCCGTTATCGAAACAGCATATTACGGTGGTCCAACAGATCAAGTACAATTTCCCCCAAACATGGCGTTTTTTCTTTTGACGAGGTGGGTCCAGGGCGCGAGTTGAGCCAGTAGTGCTACATATAGGTGTTGTTGTGAACTCGACGCTCCTCATCATTGGTGACTGGCTGAAGAAAGTCCCATTTATGAAGCTTCCAGATCATGGCTTTCGCAGACAGTTTCGCATACTTCTCGGCCATGGTGGTCGGTGCATGCAGTTTCGATTAAGACTCCCGTGTTCTGCAGCTCGTTCTATGCATATGGCTTGTAATGGTGCAACGGTTGTGAACAGGTGTGCAGCTTCCCGGTAGTCCGGATGCACTTCCAAATAATGACTAATGCTCTCACTTTTATCACGGGAAGAAGTAGAATAGAAGGGTCTGTGTGAGGTCGCATCGTCTTTGCCTTTCTGATTGAACACGCTCAGCGCCTGATCAGTAGCAAAGACCCGGTCAACAACAAAGCTGACCCTGTTTGTCGTCCGCCTGACAGAATCTTTCATTTGATGTCATTGACCCACCTTGATTCGCAGTTCAATAATTCGTCGCGTGCTAGCTCATTTTTGGTCACCTTCTTAAGTCTCTTGGATCATTTCTCAATGTAATCTCGTTTTGCAATAAAACAGTCTTATACAGAAAAAATTCGAATTCGAGCAAAATCGTTCATGACTCATGAGACAACTCAATACTCAAGAACTCCCTGCATGCAAAATAAAGACCAGTTCCTCTGTGCCGCTTACCGACGTACCTTTGCTACAATGCCACGTACGTGCAAGTCGTGGCGGGTTACTTCATGTGAATATATACAAACTCAGAATGATATGCTTTTGCAGGATGCTGTCTCGATTCTCTTGCTTCCTGTCTTTGCCTCTTCTACTTACACGAATCCTCTCCACAGAATGCATTATTTATGGTGGAGGCTACGGAGGTGGATATGGTGGTGGCGGTTCCGGTTATGGCGGCGGTTATGGTGGCACTTACAATTACGACTGCGGATGCTATCAGCCGCAACAAACAAGACCAGTACCAGTTCCCGTTGTAGAGCCTATTCCAGTAGTCGACCCTATTCCAGTGATTGAACCTATTCCAATGGTTCAGCCTATGCCAATGGGACAAATGGGATATCGACGAGGTTTCAGACGACTTCCACTTATACTTGCAAAAACCGACTCTGAGGGTGAGTTGTCTTTTAAATAGCACCGTTTCAATTTTTTATCAAATTACGAATTGTAATCAATAAAGCAAAGAATTCTTGTGCGCTTAGAGATGAGAATATCATTGGCAGTAGTAAGAAACTGCTCAAAAGACTTTCAATATTCTCCATGTCGTCCTTTGTTGATACCTCGGCATTTGAATGTTGAGCGCACTGCATTAGTTTTTGTACTGTTACGCCACACACAAGGTTTTAAGATGGCAATCTTTATTACGTTTCGACCGCTTCGTCTTCTTCTTGCTTCTTCAAGCCTGGAGATGGTCTAAAGCTTTTTGATTTGTAAGCTATTCGATCAACTGACCGAATCGTAAGGCCAGTGAATAAAGATTCCATCTTAAAAAACCTCGTTGTGGCGTACAGTACAAAAACAAGCTGCAGTATACTATTAATATTGTTAATAGTAAGGAGTTTTCTCGTAGCTTTGGGTAAACAAGCTCGTTAATCCACTGTCGTCAGTTTGTTGACTCTACTTCTCTAATACGAGCTCCACTGGAATCTGAAGCCATCGTTGTTGCCATCATTTTTTGAAGCTAGATTCTTGAAAAAAATCCGTCGTTTTCAACACCTTTTTTTAATGCTTTATTCTATTTTAATTTCGAGCAAGCTACTACCGCTCTGGATACAAAGAGCTTCTGTAAGAATTCTGAACATGGACTGATTAGAACAGCACCATAGTGGAAGGAGTTTGTGGACTATTATTTTAATTGAAAATGTTTTGCTTAGGTCAAAATACATGCATTTTAATTTCAAACCTAATTTTAGTTTTTTGTCAATACCGAGATAAAAAGAGCAATTCAGAATTTCCGAAGAAGTCAACGTGAAGGAAGAAGTCTGTAATGCGTGGTACTTTGCAAAGGTTAAGGATGTTAACGACAGTGTATAGTCAGACAAGTATTATAGTTTTGAAATCACTTAGCCCTAAGTCTTAAATTTTTCACCGAGTGGTGTGTACGTGGTATCAGTTCATGAAGGAAGAAGTCTGAAACGTCTTGCTACAGCTCAGGCGCCTCACAATTGTCTCCGCAAGGTTAAAAGTAACATTGTGAACAACAGTCTCAATTTAAAATTCACTGTAAACTTTTGAAATTTAGTGAATTTTTATTTTAACAATTTCAGGTGAAGGTGCAGCAGCAAACGCTGGAGCACGAAAGTGAGCATCACCTAGTGGAAAGAAGACGGACTGATTGTAACATTAAAATAAACATTAAAATAAATGTAACAATAAAGTTTAACAACTCCGACCAAAAGCCTGCAAATTCAGATGTTCCTGTTTCTTGCAAGCAGTTCACTAGTTCATTTCCAGTTTACTCCAGAGATATTGTGGGAATGGGTGAGAAGGCGTCTTCTCAAGAATTGTGTGAATTTGTTATTATGAATTCCTTAATTTGTTTTGAAAAGCGCTTTTTGCTGAAGACAGGAGTAAAAAAATGATCCACACATTCGCGCTCCCGCTATCCGGCATCTGGCAGCATCCCATATGTACACTGCGTTTCATAATTATAGGTCCACCCTAAATTTTTGCTGTTCCAAACTTGCTGTGTATTTTTGGAAAATGCTGGTATCACCATTAGATTCCTCATAACAAAAAACCTTGACAGTGTTTTTCTGACGAAGTTCTCCCCTCAAGTACCCTAAAAAACTTTTCAAGAACGAATTTTCACCGTTTCAAGGTTATCGAGCCACTCATAAAAAGTTCCCATCACTCATGATCCGTGAAGGGAAAAAGGGAAGCGGGGATATATGTGAGCTAAGTCGACATCGAGCCTACCATACCTCGTGCTACTCGCCTCTGTTCCCACTAACAAGCTCAAGCCAGAGCACTGACTGTAGCCCGATGGCTGAGGAGCAGAACTGCCTCCCATATCGGCTGGCTCATACTGTATAAGCAATTATGTGCGAAATCCTGATCAGTGCGGAAAGAAGAGTAGTCATGGTCAGTGAAAGATACTTTTTGTTCTAGATTCAAGAGGAACTGGGCGTTTTGTCGAATTATACAAAGAGTTCGAACAAGGCTCAAATGCGGCCTTCCTTGAGCGAAACCTTCGTGCAGTGGGCAAGCCATCAGTGCAAGAACCTTCTCAGGGGATTGACGAAACGCGTTCTAAGATTATTGCAGCGCTACAAGATCATTTCTACATTTTGTCGTGGGAAAAGCCTCAACTAATTGAGCGAAGGAATGACTGATAAGACCCTTCGCCATCTTAGACTTTACCTATTTGTTTGGTGCTGCAGGTGATCTGAGAAAGGTGCGAAAAAGGTTTCATTCTAGGTGGATCTGATAGAAAAAAGGGTACAGTAGGATTCCGTGAAAATTGCAGATGGTATTAAAGTGTTGTGGCATCTTTGAACGACTGAGCGGCTAAAGCTCGTTTTTCTTTCCTATCATGAGGATTCCATATGGTATCGTGAAGTTTTTTTAAAGCGATTTCTACCATTTTTTCGACAACAACCCCCTCGATTCTTCTCTTTTATGCAAGAACGCGACTATCCATGCCGTTCCTTACACGCCGAAGAAAGTAGAAGAAGAAATGTAGCAGATCTCTACATCTCTATAGTGGCCCGCGTGTTCTCTAAATCATATTCCGATGAAGAATCATTGGGTCTTATTGTTAAAAAATTCTACAGTGAAGAGAATCAAAACGGAACAGTGGAAGAGCTGAAAACGTCGATTATCGGTCCACAGACAAATTTCGATCTCAATGTAATAGCTAACTTGGTTACAAGAATTCTAAAACGTATTAGTGTGGTCCCTATGGCCAATGGAGGACCATCCCATTATTAAGAGTTTGCAATGTTCTTTTTGTTATAATAAAATGTTTTCAGAAGTGATGTGTAGTCATATTTGCGAAGCGGCGAAAATACGTTCTGAAAAAGATATTTTGGTAATTCTACGCCGAGATTTTTCCAGAAATCTAGTATCAAGGTTTTTCGTTATGGGAAATCTATTGGTAATAGTGGCATTTTCCAAAAATACAAAGCAACCTTGGAATAGCAGAAATTTAGGGTGGACTAATGATGAAACGCAGTGTACATGTCCTGTGCTAGCCATCATCGCATAAGCAGCAAAGTTTCGTGGCTCTTCTGGTGCGGGCCATCAATTTCCTCGTTGTTTGATATCCTCGCTTGACCGGAAAAAAATCCTTGAATGTGGCGCAACGTGACTGGACCCGCCGAACATGTCCCCAACACGGGAACAAACTTAGGCAGTATGACGAAGATATTCCATAAAAAAGTACAAACTATGGACGTAGTTTGGCGAATTCTTTCCATCAGTTCCGATGAGTATACCGTATTTATGGCTCTGTAGTTCTGATCGTTAGGATGGTCTAATCCTTGGTTTCCATCGCATAACATTGAAAGTTTAGCAGTTAGTACTCGCATTGTTTTCTTCCTAGATCCTCCTGGGCGAAGCTCTTTGCGCTGTGTAGTGTGCACTGTAGGTTGTTACTAAGTACATGTCCTCCAGCCACCGTAACTCAACACTTTCAGACTTGCTCCGGAACATTTTCCTGTGAAAGGCTCTATTTTGGTCATATTTTATTTACCCTGAGTCCTTTTTCTAGTGATGGTAGAAGCATCATGGCTTCATACAGAAAGCTCATCCTTGCTTATACATTACGGCATGAATCCCGCGAAAAATCCCCCTATGTAGCTCTGCTTCGTTAAAATTCAATGTTGTGCAGCTTCGTCATAGATAGAGTTAAGAATGTTGTGTATTGCACCATGGTGTGTTGAAGGGAGGAAGGTTGGCATAGAATTGGTTGAATCATTGCGAAGGCATGGGTCATAAGTGTAGGATCAACACTGCGAAAAACAATGGTATCAGTTTATGAATGAAAGTCACTTCACAGAGAAGAGAAAAATATCACTCAGTCTCAATTTCAACCTCTTGCTGCAATGAAGAAATATGCAGTAATCAACGTTCTTGCATGGTGCATGACTATTTGAGGGCCAGTATATCTGGAAAGCTAAGGAATCATTGTTAGTTTTCAACGGCAAACAAAATCCTAATGCACACTGAGCTTTGTTCTACGAGGAGTGTCTTCTCTTTCGTTGTTACGAAATTCGAATAGTGTAGGAACACGTGACTTATGAAATTCCTGGAAAATTTTCAACAAAAGCAAGATTGTGTCGTGTGATCGAGCGTAAGCACACTTCGTCACTTCTTCTTATAATTGTTTCTGTTGCATGTTCTCTCAGACCTTCAGCTAGTGATTCTTCGCTATCTCCTTCAGTCGGTAAAGACTCTAGGAGGTATGTATGTACCCCTTTAATCCACTGAGTTGGGTAGGATCAGCCCACCCATTCGATGCGATAACCTGACACTAACTTGTCTATTTCTAGCTCACAAAATAGCCAGGTCCCACTCCAGTGTTCTTTACGAAAGTAATGCTTAGTTGTGTGGGTTTGGCTTAACGTGTTCTTATGCAATAGGGCACGGCGTAATTCATAATTTGTTAATTGGTAATACTGGAAGAGAGCACACCGATTCACAGTGGAATGAACCGTCGCAGCTATTATTTATTGCCTCCTTTTTTATCTTTTCCTCCCATATAATTCACAGGTGAAGCAGCACGTGTCGTGGATATCAAAATAAACTGTCGCCTGTGAATGCATCAGTTGCCATCGGCGTTATCAATGTCATCACTCTGAACGATGCTATTCTTAGTCTTGATTACACGCATATAAACAAACTTTGAAAATGGAAATTTCTTTTAGAATGCTGCTTTGGTACTATTGTACACTTCTCCTCTTGCACATCTTCACAAAGTGCGATGGTTATGGTTACGGTTACAACTGCGGATGCTATCAGCAACAACAGTCACGACCTGTACCTATTCCAGTAGTGGAGCCTATTCCAGTGATTGAACCCATCCCTGTAATTGAGCCTATCCCAATGATAAGGTCTATGCCAATGGGACGAATGGGATATCGAAGAGGTTTCAGACGATTTCCAATGATACTTGCAAAAACCGGTGAAGGTGAATCCGCTTTTGGTTGGCACTATTGACATATTTTTAAACTGTTTCTATTTGAAGTGGCTATTTCCCACTTTTAAGTATAGTCAGTGAGCAAAAAGAGCGTTTGGCAAAAATGATAAAAGAAGCATTGGAGCTATGCGATTGAAAGTTGGTGTGCTTAGGATGAAAAAATCATTTAGAAAACACTCGAGGTATCAAAAAATCGATGACTAAGTGGCAATCAAAAGAACATCGTTGACAGATCTTTAATTTAGCCGGTTCTTCTTCTCTTGCACTCGATTTAGCACGGACTTGATTGGCTTTCCATAAACTATTGCACGACCGGCATGACTACCTGACGCCGGCCGCTGTGACGGCTCTGCTGCCTAGCCCCGAAACGAGCGCTGCACTAGCCTTTATGTTATCCCGGCGGCTCTCTTCACCTGGAGTAAAGTATCGAGGGTAGGGAAAACGTACTGCAGAAGCTCTCAGCACCGCAAGGCGACAGCTAGGCAACCGTTATTGGTCATGATGGAAATGCATATTGCTCACAGACCATACGCCTGCTGAAAAAAAGCAGCATTCTTTCAGGAGTGAGACGCCTCCTCTTTTCTCATAAGAGCAGAGCAAAATGGTTTTTTTTGGCTCTTCGTGCATTCACTACGAAACCTTCTCACTTATACTACCGCGGACATCCACCATATTCTGTGCTAAGCATATAGAGATGATGTCTTTAGCCCTCGAATTCCCTCTGGTTTCACTAGGCAGTTCACATCATTATGGGCAATGCCTCAGCACATCGCACGTGTAGCAAGAAGATGAAGAGTTTGTGAATCGACTGACTCACACGCATCCAATATTACCTACACTGCATGGCATCCCTCTAAGAGGTCTACTGGCTTACCCTAAAGGCAACACATTCCACGATCTTAAAATATAAGTGTAAAGTCTACGAGTTGTATCAGCGCTCACCCTCTTTTCCTTTCACTGCTGTTATTTGCGGTTGAACAAATCAAGGTCGATTTTCTCAAAAACTTCTAGACGTGCCTAATCGTAAGATAGCTGCATGTGTTTACGCATGGAGAGCTGACATCAAATACGTTATTACTATCTCGCTTGACTTTATTCCGCTGTCTATTGAGCCCCCTTACACAGAAAGTTGTTTCAGGGTGTTGGGCCGCCTTTCAAAACGG